GTGGAGATCCTGAATTACTCCATTTGAACCCAAAAATATAAAATTCAAAGCCAAGTACAAATTCCTCATTGTTGTAGCACAACATTTTTGGTGGTACATGGCAATGCAGCATACCATTCATCATTTTTCCCTCTTTTTTTTATTTTTCGCCAGTGTGTAGCATCATATTCAATTAAAAGCATGCATCAATAATTTTCTTAACAGAAAAGATCGAATTAAAATTGTATCTTTGCATTAAAAATGAAGAATAATTTGCTCATATTGTTGTCTTTTTCTTAGGTACTGTATATATAATATACTAGTATAACCTATGCCTTAATCACACCTAACTTGGTTCCTTCAACAGTTGGAAGCATTGCATAAAAAATCCATTCTATGATCCACAATTAGTGTGTTGATGTGTTCTCACATGGGACACCAGAAGACAGCAAATTTCAGAAATGTAGGTGTAAAATAAAAAAACAATTCAACATAATATTTTCTTACGTTTGAAAATCAATATTTTTTTATCTTAAATTATAAAATAAAGAGTAATTATATATATTTTCCATCTCTTAACCTATTTCAATTATATATATATATATCTCATGTTAACTAAAATTCAAAACTAATAAAAGTTTGATTGAATTGGTATTTATTAATTTAAAAACATTAATTTAAAGTCAATATTAAATATTTAAACTTTTACAGTACCAAATAATTAACTTTTGATGCATTTGGATTTTTGGGTCTAGTGGCATCAAATCACATTTAAGTGCATCACTCCTTCCCTGAGCAACGGTTTGAATCTGATCTCTTGTAAAATTGTTTAAAAAAAAAAAACTTTTGATATATAAAAAAAATTTAACTTCAAAACTTTTTACTATCATTAAAATAAAATTTTTACCGAAGTACTTACGTGGTTTAAAATTTATTAGATATTCTTTTTAATAAAAAAAAACTTACACAGGCAATCATATTGAATGGGGCTTAAAATGGGAAAAAGAAAAAGATATTGAGGATGAATACCAATGTGGAGAGGCGCACGTGTCATTAGAATTGATTTTCATTATCATTCGGTGCCATTTATTTTTTTAACAACCACAATTTTTTAGGAATTGAAAGAAAAATAAGGTCAATAGCCCTTAAGTCTAAATTGAGTGGATGAGAAGTAATATCGTTTTTACCTATGCTA